TCAGATGCCAGATCTCTGAAATTGCCGCGGCAGTGAATTGCAGCGAACTGCGTGGCGCAGAGAATGCCGCCCTCCAAGTGCATCTAAATTCAGGCGGGTCGCCGAGCCCCCGCGAACAACGATGTGTTTTTTCGCCAAGTCGCGAAATTATCTTTGCGCGCTTACAGAAACAGGTCAGCGACGCCCAGGAAAGACTCGAGGCATGCGAACAGACAGTTACCGAGTGCAGCAACCAGCTCCTCAACCGCAATATAATGAACGCCGTGGGCCTGGGCGGCAATAGCAGCGAGGCGGGCGCTGAATTTGCCGCGCTGGATCAGCAGACCGATGCGCTGAACAGAAGAGTAGGCGATCACCGAAATTTGTCAGGGGGGCGTTTGTCTGCGATCTCTGGCAGACAGGAATCAGTGGTCACGGGGCACATCGGCCCAGTAGTGAGCACGCCCCAACTTGCGCCCACGTCACCGCGGCCGCGCGAACTTGCGAAATCGACGGCGGCTGGGGCCAGGCCCCCAACGGCACCGGCGGCAAGCGCTCGCGCGCCCCCCCCCCCCCCCCTCCACTTGAGGCTGCGTCGGGGGGTCTGGCGCCGCGGGCGTGGCATCCCAGCGCGCTGCGCCGGAACGATCGCGCTGAAGACAGCCAGTGCCTAAAACGAAGTCACCGTGACAGTTGCGCTGCGCCCGAACGTGAGATCCTCGGCCGGCCGGAGCGCGCCGCGCCAGGAATGGTCCACCGGGCCCGATCACCCATCCAGGACGAGCTGCAGGATGGGGCGCCATCCCCGCCCTTCGGGGGCGAGCCTCACGGCGCGAGCGGTGAGCCACCCAATCAGGAGCGGTAGAGCGCCGAAGGAGATGCTGTCATGATTCTGCTAGACGAAACGAAGGACAAAGAGGCCGAACGAGTTGAACGCCGAAGCCAACCTGCTGCGCCGGCGGAATCAGGGAGCACGGGGCAACGGGTTTTGACACAGGCAGACTAGATAGTATTTCATGTGGCTCCGCGCGATTGAAGATGCCGCAACGACGCGCGAGCACCCTGCGCGCAGCTGCGGTTCCGGAACGCCCCGGCATGGGAAAAAATAGCCATGTGCACAGCAACGCCCGCGGATGCGTCGGCTTCAGAACGGGCGCCAACACGCAAAGGAAGAAGCTAAGACCAACGACCCTCTCGGCAAAGGCCAGCAGGTCCTCGTTGCGCTCGTGGATTGGCGCAGGCTGGCAATTAGAAGCAGACGGCTGCATCTTTGACTTCGCCCACCTCGACGTTGTAAGCATGGAGCGGGTTGCGCCCTCCTGAAGAAAGAACCCTACCTGAGTCGAACCGCTCAGCCACGTCGGCAAACGAAGGGGCGCGCAGCGACTGGGCCCAGAAAGGCGCGCGCAATTCAGAGGGTCGCCCGTGGCATTGCCCAGGGCATTAGAAGAAAATGCCAATGGAACCAATGGAGAGGTCGGGTGCTCGTCGGTCCTGCGAGGAGCTTGCCTCGACGCGCAAGTGCCCCAAATCGCGGCGCGAAGAAGAGCGCGGGTCATGGCCGGGCGGGCGGGCGGGCGGGCGTTGCAAACGTGGGGATGGGCGCGCCTGTGCGCGCGTGAGCAACAGCGGAAGCGAGGCCGCAAACACTTTGCAAAAGGGTGCCTCCCCCACAAAGTTTGCTCTCTGGAAGTATTGGGGGCCTCCTGCGGTTGTTTGGGGGGTTCATTGGCGGCCTGTTGGGCCGAGTCGGGGTGTCTTGCGCGGCCTCCAGGGCTGGCTTAGAGCTATCTTGAATACACGTTGGCAAATCCTGGACTGTCGCAAAATCAAAGAGATCAGAGCTTCAAAATATTTCAACAACCTAAGGAACATCAGTTGTTGTTGCTTTCCCGGGTTCTCTTGGAGGGCCTCTTGGAGCGTTATTGGGCTGTCGTGGAGGCCTTGTGGGTTGTTGCGATGCCGTCTTTGGAGCGTTTTGTCTGGTCTTGGGCCTTTTCGGTGTCATGTTGGCTGGAGTCCTGGAAGTCGTCGCGAGGACCATCCTGGCCGTCAGGGGGCCAAATTCCAACCGCAGAGCAAGCGGAAAGCAAGTTCAGAGGAACGGTGTCCTAAGGACGATCGTTGCCAGAGGGGGGGGAGTCGGCACCAGAAAGAATTCAGACGCAACCTTCCAGACCACACACACACACATTCATTGTAACACGCTAGTTCCGCGCAGGCACGGTGGCAGATACCTTACACACGTGATGCGCTGCGTACACCTGAGAGGACGATGTCGGGGAGGGAACGACGGCGGAAACTGGAAGGATAATACGATCATAAGGAAGTTTCGCCCGTGGGCGGGGAACATATTCGCACCGATAGGACCACCCTACGGGTGATAAGGAAGTGTGGGGTGGAGGGGGAGGCGGTCGATTTGCGATGGTTTGGGGCAAACAATTTTCGAGGGTCCCGGAAATCGTTGAAGCCTTGATGTAGCCAAACATAAAAACCTCCACAGTAGCATGGAAAACCCTCCACAGTAGCATGGTGGTGTTGCCAGTAATGAAGATGATAACAAGATGCGATCGTGCTGGTGAGGCGGCAGCGATGCTGACAGTGGTGCCAGGCTCTGCCAGCGACGGGTAGCGACGATGCCGGTGGTGGTGCTGGTGGCGAGGCAGCGGCAGTGGCGGTGGCGGTTGTGGTGGGCAGGACGCTGCTGCTGCTGCTGATGGACCGCTGGTGGTCACTGCAGATGGCGCTGGCGCTGGCAATGGCGGTGGTGGTGGTGGTGGAGACAGCCATGTATATTGTGTTATATATATATATGTGTGCCAACCATCGGTGCAACACTATACGTATACATATACATCTATATGTATATAAACATCATTGTCGATATCTATACATAAATACATCTACGTATGTCTCTATAACAGAATGTATCGTTCAACCGGTCGACTTATATAGATATATAACATAAACAAATATATATATATATATATATACACACGCATTCCTATCGCAAGCCCACTTATATCTAATTATAAATATTTCTGTATATATAGATATGTGCATATGTATGTGTGTCCTCATATACAGCTAGCTCGATATGTATATGTTGTTTCATCAGTCGCTCTAAATCCATATGTGTATGTACACATCGAGTTGTCGATATATCTACCTACATGTATATTTATATGTGTATATATACATCCGCATTGATATCTATAGATCTCGATATGCAGATATATCCATATGTGTGTCCAATACATGTAACAACTATTGGGACAACCATCGGGACAATCATCGATCAACATGTATACACCTCTCGGTTTTTAGATATCTATAAATACCTGTGTATATATATGCATGTAACTGTCTATAGTAAACGATCCATCATTGTATATACATATATATATATAAATATATATATATATATATATATATATATGTATCGACCAATCCGTATATGTATCTACCGGCATATCTACCTATTTATCCACCGATTGATATGTCGATCTATTCATCCATCAACCATCGGGACAATCATCGGGACAACCATCGGGACAACCAACGGGACAACCATCGTGCTAACCATGGGCCAACCATCGGGACAACTATCGGGACAACCATCAGGACAACCATCAGGACAACCATCGGGGCAACCATCGGGAAAACTATCGGGACAACCACAATTATCGGGACAACCATCGGGGCAACCACAGCATCCGGACAACCAGAACCATCGGGACAGCCGTCGGGCGGGATAACCTCCGGGACAACCGGGAGCCACGCCCGGCGCTCGGCGAGGGGGGGGGGGCGCGGTTTTTTTGGCAATAGATGGCCCCTACCACTGCAGGAACTCGCGCAGCTTCGCCTCGCCCGCACGCGCGACACGTACCAAAACCGAAACCGATTTCCCGGTTGGGGTCGCTTCCGTTCCAACCCCCCAACCTCCGATCTATGGCCTCGCGATCTAGATTTCTTCGACCGCGACCCCCTGCACACAGGGCGGCCTTGCGCGGATGCCCTGCGCGCAGCGTGTCTACGGATCGCGCATCCTTGAGAGCGTCCCCTGGTATCCAGACCTCGAGGGCACGGATGGGCCATGCCACTCCGTGTACAACGTTGGATTTGTGATAGCAGTGAGAATGAAACCAACAAGCGGCTCGCGCGCCATGCCGAGGCTGCTGCCTGGGCCGAGGATGGGTGGCAGGCGCTGCGGCTGCTGCCGCTTGGCGCCCGGGCCCGCCGCCGCCCCCCGGCGCCCTCGGCCTCGGGCCGCGTGGCGCGGCCTCCCCTGGCCGCGCCCGCGTGCCGTGCGAGGCGCGCCGCGCGAAGGCCGCCGCCGCGGAGGCGACGGCGCCGAAGGCACGGCGCTCACGGGGGCCCCCCCGCGGGCCACGGGACCGTCAAAGACGAGTTCAGCATAGCGATCGTGTTCTCATTCGGTGTTTTGCCGATCGGCGCCCGGCCCTCGCACCCCCCCTCCCCCCCGCCATGGAGCAGATCTCGCCTGTTTTGGGCGCCCGCTTCAAGCAGGTGGAGTCCCCCCCCCACAGGACGCACTGGTGCAAACAGTCGCGTTGAGCAGAGGTCCAGGGCCAGACCCCCCCTCCCCTGCCCCGCCCAATGTCGACACGCCGAACAAGAAAAGGTTCACATATGAAGAGTTGGTTTTTGAGGAACGCCCCAGGTTCGTTGTCCAGGAAACCAGGGGCACATTGGATGTGGATAACGATGCTGGGTTTTTATCCACGCCCACTGCGCCTCGGCCTCTTGGTACTCCTTCCAGAACGTTCAAGACGCAGTGGATGTGGACAACTCTTGCCTGCAGCGCCACCTCAGGAATCGAATAAGAAGAAACTTGACTTTCGGAGCGTGGCGCGGAGTTCTTGAATCGGCGCTGGGCCTCCCCCTTGCGGCGCCTCTGGCGCCGTCCCTGGCGCGCTCCGCGCGCCGGGGTGGGGGTCCAGCGCGGATCCAAGACATAGAAATCTGGCGAGGTGTCGCCGCGTTGCCGCCCGGGGCCGCCTCGTGCGTTGGGCGGGGCCCCATCGAGGATTCGCCACGTTGCCGCCCGTGGCCGCCGATCCGAGACATCTGTATGGTTATACCATCGTTCGCCTCCGAAAGAAGGCGGCGCCCGCGCCGGCCAGGAGGCCCAGGGTGGCGGCCCCAGCAGCGCCAGCTCCTGCAGCTGCGAAGGCAGGTCGCAAGGCTGCCGCAGCGAAGGAGCCGGCGCCAGCGCCAGCCCCGGCCGCGAAGGCAGGGCGCAAGGCTGCCGCCGCGAAGGAGCCGGCGCCAGCCCCGGCCGCAAAGGCAAGGCGCAAGGCTGCCGCCGCGGAGGAGCCAGCGCCAGCCCCGGCCGCGAAGGCAGGGCGCAAGAAGGCTGCCGCCGCGGAGGAGCCAGCGCCAGCCCCAGCCGCCAAGGCAGGGCGCAAGGCTGCCGCCGCGAAGGAGCCGGCGCCAGCCCCGGCCGCAAAGGCAAGGCGCAAGGCTGCCGCCGCGGAGGAGCCAGCGCCAGCCCCGGCCGCGAAGGCAGGGCGCAAGAAGGCTGCCGCCGCGGAGGAGCCAGCGCCAGCCCCGGCCGCGAAGGCAGGGCGCAAGAAGGCTGCCGCCGCGAAGGAGCCGGCGCCAGCCCCGGCCGCCAAGGCAAGGCGCAAGGCTGCCGCCGCGGAGGAGCCAGCGCCAGCCCCGGCCGCAAAGGCAAGGCGCAAGGCTGCCGCCGCGGAGGAGCCAGCGCCAGCCCCGGCCGCCAAGGCAGGGCGCAAGAAGGCTGCCGCCGCGAAGGAGCCGGCGCCAGCCCCGGCCGCCAAGGCAAGGCGCAAGGCTGCCGCCGCGGAGGAGCCGGCGCCAGCCCCGGCCGCAAAGGCAAGGCGCAAGGCTGCCGCCGCGGAGGAGCCAGCGCCAGCCCCGGCCGCGAAGGCAGGGCGCAAGGCTGCCGCCGCGGAGGAGCCAGCGCCAGCCCCGGCCGCCAAGGCAAGGCGCAAGGTTGCCGCCGCGGAGGAGCCGGCGCCGGCCGCGCCAGCGCCAGCCCCGGACGCGAAGGCAGGGCACGGGGCTCCAGCGGCGAAGGCGCCAGCGCAGGCGCTAGCCCCACAGGCGAGGCCCTCCTGAGAAGATCGGGGATCCCCAAACGGTGCGGTGACCGCACTCGACGGCGAACCTCGCCACGGGAGAAACGGGTCCTGAGGGTTCTCGCCGTTCTCGGCCCCTCGAGGTCCTCCACCGGCCACGGGACTGTCAGACAACGAGTCAGGATGAGGACCTCGTCCTGGGAGAAGGCCCAGGAGCCCAGGACCCGTTTCCCTCGGGACCCTTGTCAGGAGGGAAAGAAACACACAGACACAATTAATCGTCGACCCCCAGGAAAATATGCAAAAATATGGGAAGTGGTGGGGAAGACAGAAACCCAGAAAATATAGGAAAATATGGGGGATATTTTTATTTGTGTGTATTTATTTGTGTGTCCCAGGGCCCCTTCACCTTGTTCCCCCGTGATAGGAGGCCGGAGCCCTGCCCTCTCCGATCAATGATCCGGGCAACTCGATGGGCGGCGGGGGCAGGGCCCGCGGAGTTCGTCGAGCACGTGGCGGAGTCAGGACCCTACCCCTTAGGCGATGCTTAATTATCCTGGCGAAGGACCCAACCATATGCAGTTGTGAATGCCGCAATTGTGAATAGTTACCATCTCCGCCCGCGCTCCCTATGTGGCCACGGCTCCCCGCCGGAGCCCGACATGCTCAGGGACACGTTCGTGGCCGTCTTCGCGGGCGCCGACGACGACAAGGACGGCGTCCCTCTCACCGAGGAGCAGAAGCAGGAGAGGGGCCTTGAGAGCCATGAGGGAGGAGGTGGCGTTGCACGTCGACAAGGCGGAGTACGACGCCCAGGCGCGGTTGTTGAACCAACACAACTATGGAGCCACGATCCTCGTGAGGGATGTGCCGCAATGGCCCGGGGCCGCCATGCGAACCCTGCCACTGGCGCCTTCGGTGGAGCTCCAGTGGGGCCACGATCCTCGTGAGGGGTGTGCCGAAATGGCCCGAGGCCGCCATGCGAACCCTGCCACTGGGGCCTTCGGTGGAGCTCCCTATGGGGCCACGATCCTCGTGAGGGGTGTGCCGAAATGGCCCGAGGCCGCCATGCGAACCCTGCCACTGGAGCCTTCGGTGGAGCTCCCTATGGGGCCACGATCCTCGTGAGGGGTGTGCCGAAATGGCCCGAGGCCGCCATGCGAACCCTGCCACTGGCGCCTTCGGTGGAGCTCCCTATGGGGCCACGATCCTCGTGAGGGGTGTGCCGAAATGGCCCGAGGCCGCCATGCGAACCCTGCCACTGGGGCCTTCGGTGGAGCTCCCTATGGGGCCACGATCCTCGTGAGGGGTGTGCCGAAATGGCCCGAGGCCGCCATGCGAACCCTGCAACTGGAGCCTTCAGTGGAGCTCCCTATGGGGCCACGATCCTCGTAAGGGGTGTGCCGAAATGGCCCGAGGCCGCCATGCGAACCCTGCCACTGGGGCCTTCGGTGGAGCTCCCTATGGGGCCACGATCCTCGTGAGGGGTGTGCCGAAATGGCCCGAGGCCGCCATGCGAACCCTGCCTCTGGGGCCTTCGGTGGAGCTCCCTATGGGGCCACGATCCTCGTGAGGGGTGTGCCGAAATGGCCCGAGGCTGCCATGCGGACCCTGCCAATGGCGCCTTCGGTGGAGCTCCCTTTTGGGGCCACGATCCTCGTGAGGGGTGTGCCGAAATGGCCCGAGGCCGCCATGCGAACCCTGCCACTGGCGCCTTCGGTGGAGCTCCCTATGGGGCCACGATCCTCGTGAGGGGTGTGCCGAAATGGCCCGAGGCCGCCATGCGAACCCTGCCACTGGAGCCTTCGGTGGAGCTCCCTATGGGGCCACGATCCTCGTGAGGGGTGTGCCGAAATGGCCCGAGGCCGCCATGCGAACCCTGCCAGTGGGGCCTTCGGTGGAGCTCCCTATGGGGCTGCGAAACGCTGTGCTGGGTGGGTGAAACGCAGGGATGAGGGGAAGGGGGGAGGGGGCAGCGGGAGGAGTGGACGCGGGGCGCTGTCTCTTCAAAACGAGGACCCAACACCACAGGATGGTTGGGAAAAAAACTTGAGTTTTCGGCCAGAGTCTCGATTATTCTTAATGTTTCAATGTAAATCCTAAGATTTTGATAGAAATTTTGGGTTTTCATTCGAGTTTTGAGACCATGAATTTCTTAACCCATGATTTCTTAAGCATTTCGCAGGGTGTACCCCCGCCTCCAAGCGATTCTCCCCTCCCCTCCCTCCCCCCCCCCAGTGAAAACAGAGCCGCGTGGTGAGTCGGTGGGGGCTCGGGGTGGCCGCACGGGTCAGGGGCCTGGGTCGCTCTCCGAGGATGCCTCGGGCGCGCAGGGGGGGCCCCCCCGTCGGGCCCCAGCACGGTGCGGCGGCGGACCGCCGGGGGAGGCGAGGTCACCGCACGATCTGTCGCCGCACCGCCTTTGGACCTCCAAGAGTTCGAGGCGGGGATTCATAACCGAGCGCCCAGGATCACCATCATCATGATCATCGTCATCATCATCATCATCATCATCATCATCATCATCATCAGCATCAGCATCATCATCATCATCATCATCAGCATCAGCATCAGCATCAGCATCAGCATCAGCAGCAGCAGCAGCAGCATCAGATCAGCATCATCATCATCATCATCATCATCATCATCATCATCATCATCATCATCATCATCATAAGTTCACCTTCCCCGGGAAAATCCTTGATTATCCCCGCCAGACCCCCGAACCTTATTATCTTCCAGGCACTGTTCTCGCCCGTGGTCGGTTACACGACCACTGCCTGGAGGATCGAATTTCGCAGGCCTCCGGAGGCGGTGGATGCGGTCATATTTTGGACCCGCTGCCCGTTGGGTGCCCAGGGCGTCGGTTCCCAGGCAGTGGATAATGATGCAGAAATCCGCGCCTCGCAGAGAAAAGGGCAAGCGTTAAGTCGGGGGAATATTCATTATCCCGGCAAAGCAACCTAACAGCGATGTGTAGGAGCATATCTGGAAGCATTCCCCTTAAGATTCGGATGAGAATCCAGTTGTAGAATTCTGCTGTTCTCGCAGTCGTAGTCGCATTCGCGATGACAGTCGCAGTGGCAACGGCAGTCGCAGTCACAGCCTCAGCCTCAGCCTGCCTCAGCCTCAGCCTCAGCCTGCCTCAGCCTCAGCCTGCCTCAGCCTCAGCCTCAGCCTGCTTCAGCCTCAGCCTCAGTCTGCCTTCAGCCTCGGCCTCAGCCTCAGCCTGCCTCAGCCTCAGCCTGCATCAGCCTCAGCCTCAGCCTCAGCCTGCCTCAGCATCAGCCTGCAGCCTCAGCCTGCCTCAGCCTCAGCCTCAGCCTGCCTCAGCCTCAGCCTCAGCCTGCTTCAGCCTCAGCCTCAGTCTGCCTTCAGCCTCGGCCTCAGCCTCAGCCTGCCTCAGCCTCAGCCTGCATCAGCCTCAGCCTCAGCCTCAGCCTGCCTCAGCATCAGCCTGCCTCAGCCTCAGCCTCAGCCTGCCTCAGCCTCAGCCTCAGCCTGCTTCAGCCTCAGCCTCAGTCTGCCTTCAGCCTCGGCCTCAGCCTCAGCCTGCCTCAGCCTCAGCCTGCCTCAGCCTCAGCCTGCCTCAGCCTGCCTCAGCCTCAGCCTCAGCCTGCCTTCAGCCTCAGCCTCAGCCTCTGCCTTCAGCCTCGGCCTCAGCCTCAGCCTGCCTCAGCCTCAGCCTCAGCCAGCCTCAGCCTGCCTCAGCCTCAGCCTGCCTCAGCCTCATCCTCAGCCTGCCTCAGCCTCAGCCTCAGCCTGCTTCAGCCTCAGCCTCAGTCTGCCTTCAGCCTCGGCCTCAGGCCTGCCTCAGCCTCAGCCTGCATCAGCCTCAGCCTCAGCCTCAGCATCAGCCTGCCTCAGCCTCAGCCTCAGCCTGCCTCAGCCTCAGCCTCAGCCTGCCTGCTTCAGCCTCAGCCTCAGCCTCGGCCAGCCTCAGCCTGCCTCAG